ACTTGAACCATGCAATGTACTGTAAATGCAGCCTTAAATCACATGTCTTCCCCATTCTGACATTCGGTTTGACTTTCAGCAGATTACCTTGACCATGTCTACATGCCAAAATGCATTGAGTTGCTGCCATGTGATTGGCCTACCTGATGTCATGACGAAAACATATCTGTGGGAACATTTTCGCAAGACATAAAATACGTACCAATTAGTACATATCACTGCGGTTTCCAACAGAAATTAACACCAGAGGTGGTAAAACATTGAGTACTTGTAATTGTTTTTGTACACAGTTATAATTACAGCTCCATATGTTTCGTTTTCTGGACAAAACAAGCTTGCTTGGTAGCTCAGCCACCACAGAATTGGACTTAGGATGCGGAATCCTTGTGTACGAATCCCATGAAAAATATGACTCATGATGAAAGAGCTGAAAGAGCTGATAGATGAGACATTGAAAAACAAGCTAAAACGCCATGCTTGCGATTGTGTTTTTACGTCACAGTCGCTTTTGTTCATACTGTTGGGTAGGTTTAGGTGTGGAGCAGATGGTACGTTATTTTAAAACGTCATGGAGCATTAGTTATAGCGCCACTCAATGGACATTTCAAGTCAGAATTGCGGTGACACGTAATGTCATATAAAACGTACCATATGTACGTTCATCTGTTCCGGGGAAAAAAACAAACAAAAAACACACCCAGTGGACATTTCACATGGCATATGGCACGAAATGTACATGGAGGTATTTATTTGGCATCTTGCAAAAAAGTTCCCACAGGTACGTTTTCGTCATGAAATCAGTTGGCTGATTAGATATTTGTGTTAACAAACACACCTGCAAAGATACATTTATGGCCTAGAAACTTCAATCGCTTTTTTTCTGAGATTTCACGATTTTATTAATTTCTATGACCAGGCCTGAAAATAACACTCAAATTACCTGATATCTCCTGGTTTTCCATGACTGTGAGGACCTAAAACACTTTGTGCAAGCTTTGATTGTGCAAAACTATGTTTATTGCTAATCTCCTTAATAAATTAATGCTTTTACTTTGTTGTGCATATGTTTTGTCACATGCTGCATGTTGTAAGAGGCCATTAAGTACAATAGGCTAAGAGAGAAATGTGCTGTATACGCATCTCCACCAACTGCTGTTCGGTTCCACTAAAGTGAATCTCTTGTGTCAGCATGAACAGTGAGAGCACTTTCACGTTCATTTCCAGTGCACAAGCTACCTTCCAACTTTCACCATAATAACGCGTCACAAGGTTGACATGCTGGGGAACCTTCAGTGCCTGAGGGAAATTAAATTACGTCAACTGCAACAGAACATCTTATCCTTCTGATAAAATAATGCTTTACCGGTTTTTTTTTTCTCGTCATACTTCTCTGATTCTCGTATTCGTTACCTGTTGTATTCAGTGGTCTAATTGTCTTCATTTTTAATAATTATTTAATTACCATAACAACTACATTTTAACTAAAACGATAACAAAAACCATAAAAACTAGCATAAACAATAAACAAGCATAAAATGCACTAACATATAGAAAATTTTAAATTGCAAAAATATAAATATACTTATACTTCATTGTTTGAAAAATAAACAGCCAATGAAAATACTAGAAATCATATTTAAACTGTGGAAAAAACAGTTGCAACAGTGCTCTAATGAGCCGCCCACAGTATCAGTTGAACGCCCCCATGATTTCCACTGACAGGAACTTCCTCAAGGAATACCAGAATTTGGGCATCACCTACCTGACAGGTGTGGTCAGTGTTTCTGGCCTGTTTCATTTTGACCCAGCCTGACAAGTGTGGAATGCCAGGTGTTACTTCTCAAGGTATAAAAGGCAAAGCACAATGTCACATCAGCATCTCACAGCATCTCAGCTTCAGCTGCACTCACTGGAAAACAGTAGAACTACAACAGGTGAGCAAACTTTTCATTTGACATCGAGTGTTATGCATGATGTACATATACTGTATTTGACATAAATGTAATTCTTAATTTTCTAACTAATGAAGATTTATTACATGATTTCAGAAAATATGTTCTGGATTAAAATCGCCATCGTTTGCATGTTCGTATCCCTGCTGGAAGCCCATAAGGAGTGCACAAGACACATAAAATGGGAGCATCTCATTCAGTCATTACATTCAATGGTAAATGTCCTTAAAACAACATAATTCTGATTTCTACTAAATGTGCGATTTTAAAATACACATATGCTTTGTGTTTTCAAAGGGCACTGCGATATCTCACGACTGTGCATTTGATTATGAAGAAGCCAGTTTGTGTGATCCACATCATCTGGCCAATAAGGTTTGTACATCCACCCTTATTCCGTATGTTGCTGATAAATAATGTTTTATAAAAGGTTTAAAAAAACTAAACTAAACAAAATCTAAGATTAATGTTTTCCTCTTCACAGGTGGATCATAATGCAATTATTCTGGTCGACATTATGAAGAAAACAGAAACAATGTACAGGGAGAATCCAAACCCACAGACGTTTATTGAGGCCCTACATCACACCCGTCACACCCTGAGCAACTGTGTAAGAATCACAAATGTGTTATTATAAAGTATAATACAGCCACACAGCTCATTATCAACATGATAATCATGTTGTCTGTGTTTTTTGTTTTTTTGGTAGATTCATCACTCTGACAATGCTGAAAATGAGCCTGTGACCACATGTTTCAACAAATTAGAAGCTTTTCTTAAGAAAAAGGTAAGATCCTAAAGTATTTATCTGTCTGTCTGACTGTCTATTCATCCATATTAATGTCTATATATTTCTATTTTCAGTCCCACTCGCAATGTGCATGGGAAATTATTAATTCAAAAGTGAGGGAGGTTCTTCAGAGGCTGGAGAAACGCTCCGTCAGACAGCGACGTTAGAGACTTTATCATGCATGTATTAATGCTTATATTTAATTGCGAAAAGGTGACATTTTATAAGCTTGATGGGTATATGTATATACAGTGGGTACGGAAAGTATTCAGACCCCCTTAAATTTTTCACTCTTTGTTATATTGCAGCCATTTGCTAAAATCATTTAAGTTAATTTTTTTTCCTCATTAATGTACACACAGCACCCCATATTGACAGAAAAACACAGAATCGTTGACATTTTTGCAGATTTATTAAAAAAGAAAAACTGAAATATCACATGGTCCTAAGTATTCAGACCCTTTGCTGTGACACTCATATATTTAACTCAGGTGCTGTCCATTTCTTCTGATCATCCTTGAGATGGTTCTACACCTTCATTTGAGTCCAGCTGTGTTTGATTATACTGATTGGACTTGATTAGGAAAGCCACACACCTGTCTAATTTAAGGGGGTCTGAATACTTTCCGTACCCACTGTATTTTAAGAAATGCACATTATTTACAAAATCATGATTTTTTTGTTTATTGCTGTGTGAGATTAGTAGTACAGATTTAGTTTTTCTATTTTTCTAATAAAATTGTAATGAAATACAAACACTGTAATACACCGAATGTGAGATTATTATTATTATTATTTATATGTTTTAGTGTTAAAATGTGAGTCTTCTATGCTATTGTTAGTATATGATCTTCTGACACATCCATTTGTACTGATACTACCTAATGTTAATGTTCTTGAACAAACATAATAAAGAAAACTAATAAAAGTGTGTGCAACGTTATATATATATATATAGTGTTTGAAACTGTATTTTATATTGGTACAACATCAACAAATCTGTTGGTACACTGGGCAACTTTTTGGATAATGCTGCCGTCAACAGGCAACCAGGTGAGACACAAAGCCCACAACCCATCTAAAATATCCAGATAGAAATGTGTTACCCATTCTCAATAGGAAAGTGCCCAAACAACATTGGGTTATACTTTACTTGAAGGGGTCTGCATAATCATGACATGACACCTTCATAATCATAACATGACACATGTCATGATGTTTAAAAAAGAAAAAAAAAAGTTGCCCAGCAGAATTGCTCACAAAGTTGCCCCGTGTATCATCAGCCTAAATCTCTTTAAAAATCTAAAGCACATTTTTCATTTGTTAATTTAGGGATATCAGAATATGATTTCCATTCTGAGACACAAAAGCGGTTTTCTGACATTTATTCTTTTCAAGAAACCATATTGCCTGAAAATTACACCATACAGGCCTGATTGTGAATGATGCTCCTTGCAGGTTTTTACACAAACCAACAGACGGCAGCATACTCTAAAAATAACGGTTGCAAAGCTACTAAGTCATTCTTGAGAAGTGAGACAAAACGGTGCAAAATTGAAAAAATAAAACCTTGTACTCAGACAAAGTGGGGATGCAACTTTAAAATCTTATTAAACATGCATGTGTCATTAAAAAGCAACCTTGCTTTGATTGGAGATATTATTAAGTGTTGCTTTTGATAAAACAAGCTCTTTTTCATCATTTAAAAAACATTTTTATCCATTTTATTGCATATGAATGATTGAACCCTTCTCTGTGGACACACTGTTTTAGATGTAGTGAGAAGACAATAAGTGTCATAGATTTGATATAATAATGATCAAATGAAATTGAAGGGGATAATTGTGTTAAATACATTCTATTATTAATCCCCCATAACATTTACAATTGAAATTTTTTTTATTTTTAAACCTAATAGCAGTTACCCTTGCTGGACAACGTCAAAGTTAACTTTAATTACTAATTTACTTGTAAGGTGAACGCAATTATAAGTACACACATTTACAGATGACAGAAATAAACTTACTTTAAATTTAATTTCAACGTTGCTCTTTGACGGCATCTCAGTTTCCGGAAATATAGCCGGACCATATTTGTCAAATTACTGTCCCGCCTACATCATCTTCCTACGCTGAAACGCCGCCGACAGCGATTACTATTGGTTAAAATTCCGGCAGGAACGCGGGATCTGACCAGCCATTGGCTGAGAGAGCTGTCAGTCACAAATGTTATTGCTGCAGGTTCAGGAGGGACAGCAAAGGACGTGCAAGAGGAGACCGCTGGAGAGGAGAGGAGAGGACAGAGTCCCCTAACCGGCACCGTTTCATACAGAGTTGTATCTATTCAGTATTATATTTTAACCTATTGGAAGTTTAAAAAGGGAAGATGGCTCAGACAGACAACAAGAAGTTCTTTGAGAACCTGACGGGCGCTGGGAAAGCCATAGCAGTGCTCACGAGCGGAGGAGATGCGCAAGGTAACGTTACACTGTTACAGCTCATTCGGTTCACATTTGTTATAACTTTACATCCTTATTATCAGTGTTATATTGGATCATTGTGTTCAGAATGAGCTCTACATAGTTTCACTTTGACATGTGATGTGCATTCTGTTACATTGTACACTATTACCAGCGTTACATTGGCTGTTCAGTTGCATTGTATAAATGCAAGTTTGTTAGAATCTCCTACTTGGGGTTGCTTCTCGTCAGGATGGATGAAATGGCCCTTGAAGGTCCGAAGGGATGGAAATGTAACCATGAGCTGATCACAAAGTCACCGATTTTGCAATGTGATATGTTTGAGCGATCCATGGTTGACGTTTAGGATCAGTGTTATCATTTTAGTTTCATGACTGCTTGCTGTTTAGACTGGTTAATATTGGTAGAAATGCAGGTTGAGGAGGTTGAAGGATGAGGCGGTTCTCAGTAAATACATCTGAGCTCATGTCAGATGACAGAAGCTTTCATTTCTATCATAATGTTTTCAGATAGCAGACAGCTTTACTATGTATCTGTTGCGTTGGTGTTTAGGTGAATGAATGACATTTAATCAATACATGTCACTGCATTGCGGACTCATGTGACCTTCACGAACAGCACACACGTAGCGTGTCTTCACTGTCTCCATCCAGCCTAAAAGATTATGATTCTTTCTTATGTTTGCTTAACATTAACCGTCATCTGTGTGTTACGTTACCTCATATCTAGTGTTGTCACGGTACCAAAATTTCAGTATTCGGTACCAATACCAGTCAGCGCTTTTCTGTCCGTCAATCAACGAAACGATGATTTTCATCAACCAGGAAGTCGCTGCGCTTTTCACAGTGGCTTTCCCGTGTTTATGTTTTAAAGCTCATGACTGTTTCTTCATTAAGTGATGTGTTTTGCAAAGAAGAGGTGCATTTAGGTGATTTTAGGGTGTAGGAAGTCTGAAGGATGCGTACGTGAGGAGCCGCTGCGAGAGTGCGACCAAGAGTTACGTCACAGCAAAATGCGTCATGTGACCAACGCGCACGGCTTTAAACCAATGTCACGTTTTACACACTGAAATAAAAAACACACCTTCGCTGTGAAGTGCAGTTGTTACCTTAAGAGGTTTCTACCTTTTGTGAATCTAGATTTAGTCGTATTAAACAATATTGTCTTGAATAAAATCAGATAGTTTAGATGTGCACAGACACACTTGTACCTTAATTTCAAAGACGAGTAGTTCCTTAAGGAAAATACTAATCTAGTTTATGAGACCATTCAGGCACCTCTTGTGAGAAAATAAGTGTGCTTGAATGTGGATTTGTAGTGTACTTCAAATCTTAAAAGTATATTTTAAGTTGCCTAACTGTTCTTGCATATAGGCTAATATTAATTACATAAAAAGCCACTTAAGTGTACTTAAATATAGTTCACTTTCATGACTACGCACTTAAAAATTGCACGTCCAATCAAAGATGTAGCTTTAAATAATTACCTTTAAAGTAAAGTATTAGGGTACTCTTTTGTATGCTAAAGTGTACTACTTCACAAGGGACTTCACTGCAGCTCCTATGAGAAATGCAAATGTTCTTGTTTTGGACTGCAGTGAAGGTTACTGTGTGAAAAATTCACATTAAATTTCATAGTAGTTAATGAGTCACCAGATGGAATGTGTCATTTCTGTAATGACTCTGATCTGATGTAACTTACATGCAATATTAGTCATTCCAATGGCTTAATGTATATCTGCACGTATCCTAAACACGGTACATGTTATAGATGAATTCACTCAATTAACACTTTAGATCTTTAAAGCAGCTGCAGGACATAAATAGCAGGACTGCATAATTCTTTGTCTATTTAGATAAACCAATCGACAGTGGCAGACTGAAAAGCTTGAGCACACGGTGACATTGAATTTTTCAGAGCCTGTAGGGCAGATCTCTCACCTTGACACATCTGACATCAGGCGTAACATTTTGCCTGGCGAACAGGTGGGGGGGAAACGCCTAGGGCTTTTTTCTAAAAAAAGCTAAGGAGCTAAAAAAGAATAGGAGAAACCCAATCAATACTGTATCTACAGGCCCAGAGAGACTGTTGACTCAGGTGTTGATTTGCAACCATCTAGAAACCACCAGGCAATGTTGTTAGTCACATAAAGCTATATATGACCAGTGTTGGCAAGTAGTGTAACGATTTTCATTACTTTATTAGTATTGTAACTGATTTCTAGCGAATATTTTCAACTGTTAATCATTTTCAAACATTTAAAGCAGGCAGGGTTAACCTTACAGTTGTACTCAACACTGAGTACTGTCAGACTTCCAAAATCCTTCTTTACTTGAATTAGGATTATAATAATTTAATCTTAAAGCACAGCCACCACAAAATCAGACTTTAGCACCTCTTTTGACTTTGAGATCGATCTGAGGTAAAGTACAGATTTAAAATCATAACAAGAAACCATTTAATAGCTATGGCACTGTTTTTGAAATCAAATCTTTGCATAGCTACAACAGGAAGCACTGCCTTGGAAAAAACAGTTAATCTTAAAAATAAAGCATATACATGAACCCAAATTGGAACTAAACCAGTTATTGAATAAGCATGTGTCCTAAACTCCTGAAACACTGGTGTCTCGTATTTTAGAGCAGTCAATGCAATTTGGGAAAGAAATCAATCATATCTGTATGTGTGTGAAAATATTCAGATGCAGCCCACTTTGTAATCGTTAACATTTTCATAAATAACTGTAATTTAATTACTTTTTTTTTTTTTTTTTTTTTACTTGTCTATTATATGTTTTAGCTTTTAACAAAATAAATTAAAAAGAAAACGGATTTTGTAGCAGAGAAAATATTTAAAAAATGATCCATTCTGTTGGATTCAGAATCTTGGAAAAGAACGTGACTTGGACACTTGGAAATCCACAGCTCTGATTTCATTAAGATGTGCGTGTATTGCATCATGTGAATATGGCAGCACCCAAGAAGTTGGTTTATATACCATTAAGCGCATAGAATGCATTGAATAAAAGCGAACACTTGTTTCTCACACATTTGCTGAGACAGGTGTACAAACAGTAAATTATCTCTTTTGATTGCCGTACATTGTGTAACAAGGACACCTTAAAATAAAGTGTTACCTTATTTTGTAATTAAATTACGTAATTCCGTTACATGATGTAACTAGTTACTCCCCCACACTGTATTTGATTTCAAAGGACTAGGAATATAGCTATGCACACGTTGTATAAACTACTTTTATGGTGCTTTTGTAGTTGAAATCAAATGGAAAAGAGCCCTTTTTTTGTATTCTGCAGAAGAAAGGTCAGTTTACAAAGTTTGCAGTCGAGGAAATTAGGAATTACTTTTCATTTTTGTGTAACCCGTCCCTTCAACACAGGTGAAATGTAATCATCTGCAATATTTTTCCTTAAGTCAAGTCAAGTCACCTTTATTTATATAGCGCTTTTAACAATACAGATTGTGTCAAAGCAACTGTACAGCATTAATTAGGAAAACATTTTCAGTTAAAGGCAGTTCATCACTGAATTCAGTGATGTCATCATCCAGCTTAGTTCAGTTTAAATAGTATCTGTGCAATCAAGTCGACGATATCGCTGGAAATTAAGTGTCCCCAACTAAGCAAGCCAGAGGCGACAGCGTCAAGGAACCAAAACTCCATCGATGACAGAATGGAGAAAAAACCTTGGGAGGAACCAAAAATGAGCTGAGCCTTAAATGAACTGAGCCGTTCTGCTAATTCTGATTCTTTCCCATTCCTTTCCTGTGTTGCCTAGTAACAGCAGTGCCGCTTTCAGTGAACAAATATAGCAAATTTTATTAAACCAGATTTAACCAATTTTATAGGAGGAGGCTAGCAACAATTGCCCAAATATGGCAGGAAAGGCCCTCAGAGCTATGCTGCACAGTTGCATTCCAGTGATCCTCAAATTACATGATCAAGTGCAAATACAAACAAACAGCCAGCTCTAACCTGTTTTCCCAGTATTTTTCTACAGATATCCTTCTAACTTGATCTGTCTGTTGTTCCTCTGCATGCAGGAATGAATGCTGCTGTTCGGGCTGTGGTCCGAATGGGAATATATGTTGGAGCCAAAGTGTACTTCGTTCATGAGGTCAGTGTCTAGTTCATTTCTGCATAATTCAGATGATTCTGTTCATCAGAATGATATGGCTTTAAATGCTGTATACTAATGTGTAAACATTAATAAGACAAACTATGTCATTGCTGTATAACATATGGGTGCAATGACTCTCAATGTTGCTCTCTCAATGGCCAGTCATTTATTTCCAATATAGAAATGTTTATATGTTTCACAGGCTTTTTTAGTGAAATAAGTCATGTATTGTAAATAATATTAATCCATTTCAGAGTTGTTGGCATAGCAGAAGTGTTCCCACAGTGGTTTGAATTAAAGCCCCATGTATCTGGCCTCAAATAAACATGTTTTTTTCCATTAGCATCATATAGCATCTTAGCCTTGCTTGAAGAGATGTCTGGCTGTGATAGGCCGAATATCTTCACCCACTCTGCTTTTATGCAACTGCTGCAGTGAAGAAACCCACACATCCATTTTCTCATGAGTCCACCCTCATTCTTAAAGGTGAAGCGTGTCATTTGACTTGTTAAATCATTTGTTTGTCACATTTGAAAAAGCAAGCATTTGCTAGTGGTGCAGAAATGACACGCTTCATCTTTTTGTAAACACAAAGCCATGTCTTTGCCCAGACAGAACATTGACTGCCAATCTCCGTAAGCTGGTTCATATGATTACTTGAATTCATTTTTGGTAACTAAGAGGTCATTCAAGGATAAGAGGTGCGATTTTAAATGCATGTTTGTGAGGCTTGCCGCGATAGACGGTGCTGACGGTGATACCGGTGTTAAGCCGCAACACCGGTTACGTCACCTGGAAAATTCAAACAAACTATAAATGAACAATTGCTTTACGCCGAATTGCCGCGATTTGAAAGTGAAAGTAAAATGCGCACGCCGCTTTTACAAGCTATTTAAAAGCGAAGGAAAGCGAGGAAAAGAGGGAAGGCCCCCAACCCCACGGTGATACCGGTATTACCGGTGTTGTTACACGTCGATTAACCGGTGGGAAAATTTCCTCACCGTCAAAACCCTAATGTTTGTGTGTTGTACAGGGATATCAGGGTATGGTGGATGGAGGCGACAACATCAAGGAGGCGACATGGGAGAGTGTGTCCAGCATGCTGCAAATGGTGAGTGTGATGAGAAGCATACAGCCCCTCAAAGCACTCGAACATACCAATGCTGCTAGTGTCGCAAGATCAATAAGATCTTGTGGTTAAGATTTTGTATGCTTGTGTTTCAGGGAGGCACTGTTATCGGCAGCGCACGATGCAAAGATTTCCGCACGCACGAAGGTCGTCTGAAGGCGGCTCATAACCTGGTGCAGAGGGGCATCACTAACCTGTGTGTGATTGGTGGAGACGGCAGCTTGACCGGGGCCAATATCTTCAGAGAGGAGTGGAGCGGGCTGCTGGCAGAGCTGGTCCAGCAAGGTATGAGCTGCAGATGACACAATAGAAATAAAATGTATTGAGGGTTATTTTATGCACAAATTTACATGCAAAGCAATTTAGCCGTTTAAAACATTTACTTGAATTTATCAGAATGTTGAAGGTATTGGTCATGAATTTTCTATGATTTCAATTAGGCTTAAATTAGCCAAAAATAAAGATCAAACACAGAAAGAAAAAAGTTTGGCCAGAATCTGATCTAATAGGCTTTTTGTTGCTGTTTTTAATCGCAGGTCTGATCGATGAGGAGGCAGCTCAGAAATACTCTGCTCTTCACATTGTGGGCATGGTGGGCTCTATCGACAATGACTTCTGTGGCACCGACATGACAATAGGAACAGACTCAGCCCTCCACAGAATCATCGAGGTGGTGGATGCGATCATGACTACAGCTCAGAGGTACTTCAACAATCCATAACAAAGAATAATTTAAAGGTTACATGAATCTAAAATGACTTTATCTAAAAGCACCAGATGTTTCTTGTGAAAAAGAAATTCCTATTTATTGGCTAATAATTCTACAGTCACCAGAGGACATTTGTGCTGGAGGTGATGGGCAGGCATTGTGGGTAAGATTCTTACATATTATCACCAACTATTTTGGCCTGGATTTGTTCAAAATATATGATTGGCATGGTGTTTGTGTGCTGCATACTGTTAAATAAGACACTGTACTCTATATATCTGTATGCGCTTGTGTATAAAGCTATCTGGCACTGGTGAGTGCCCTGGCATGTGGAGCCGACTGGGTGTTGATTCCTGAAATGCCCCCTGAGGATGGCTGGGAAGAGAAAATGTGTCAAAAACTCTCTGCGGTAAAACAAAAATACATCACTTCTCACTAAACTACACGCAGCACGCTTGATCAACTTCTCATGTTAGTCAGGTGGTCACACTTATATTACATTCAGTTTATTCTTACAAGTTTTTCACCTGGAAAATTGTAAGCTTGTGGTTGTGCACAGTGTTAGGGAAGCAACTCTGACAAGCTGCACGCTATGATGTCAACTGGATTAACTACAGATAAGCTTCACTTTTTATGAAGTAGAAGAATCTATTCACTGAAATGTATACTGTAGCTTTCCATCACAACTTGTTAGAGACATTCTAGAAGTGTGTGATATTTATGATGGATTTATCAGTTGTAAAAATTTGTATGCGAAACAGCTGCACTACTAAAATACAAGTCAAGTTAGCAGCATCACTACTCTTCAACATTGGCTGTACTGTACATGCACATTTACAGGTTACGTATTTACCCCATTTATCCACATCTGCATACAAAAAATCATTTTCCACTAGTCCCAGAATGTAATGTTTATTGGTACATACTCTTCTGTAACATGCTTGTGTTTTTTGTGAAACAAATGTGTTCACTGCCCCAGACGCGATCCAGAGGTTCAAGGTTGAACATAATCAGTCGCTGAAGGAGCCATTGACAGACATGGAAAAGCTATTACTTCTAGTATAGTCAAGGATGTGAGTACTGAATGTTTTCAAAGGGAGAGAGCAAAAATCTGGAATGGTCCATAACTGGAGTGGCCCACCGCCAATAAGACTCCAAAGAGACTCAAAGACTTGCTGCAAAAACATTCTACAGATTCTACTACATGCCATAAGATGTAAAAGGGTTTTCACACTGACAGCAATTTGCATTGATAACTTGATAAGTCATTCTTTTTCAACGGGAATTGGATACAGCATTTGGATACAGCAGTTCAATAGCAACCAGTAGTACAGAGTCTTGCTGGCCTTGACCGTATGTACATTGACTTGGAAAATTTGAAAATAGTTATAGTGAATTGAAATTACAGTAACTGTATATACGAACAGCGACTTAGTAGACAGTGCAACAACTTGGCAGCTTAACCAAAAGTAAAGCAACTTGGTGACTATAAACAACAGTACAGCCACTTGGGGACATGGAACAACATGCAGGAGCAACTTGTAGACACTGGCCAACAGTACAGCAATTTGGCAACCTTGAAAAACGGTATAGTAAGTTGGAAACCTTAACCAGCAGTATATGAAGAGCGACTTGGAGCATTATAGCAACTTGGCAACCTTGACCAAAAGGTGTAGTGACTTTGTTACTAACAATATTGTTTTTGAGTTGACCAACAATATAGTGACTTAAGACCTTAATCAACAGCAAAGCCACTTGAGGACATCAAACAACAATATAGTGACTTGTAGACACTGACCAACATTATAGCAACTTGGTGACATTGACCAACAGTATAAGGACAGTGACCTGGAGATCACGACCAACAATACAGCATCGTGGAACCCTTGACGAAAACTACTGTGACTTGGTGAACATGATCAACAGTACAGCAACTTGCTGACCACCTGTATACAGAGAGTGACTTGGAGATGTTGACCAACATTACAGCAACTTATAGGACCATGGTCAACAGTACAGTAATTTTTCAGAAACATCTTTCGGACTTATAAAGACCTTGATTAACAGTAGCCATCTGAGGACACTGAACAACAATATAGTGACTTGTACAATTTACCAACAGTACAGCACTTTGGCAACACTGACCGAAGAGTATATGGACAGCAACTTGGCGATCTCAACCAGTAGTACAGCAGCTTGGTGACCAACAGTATAGTTACTTTAAGACCTTGACCAGCAGCACAGAAACTTAGCAAACAATTGAATTGCTGTCAGTGAGAATGCACCGTAACTGGGTCGTATGGTGTAGTGGTTAAATATCCGAATGGGTAACTTTACTCTAAAGTTGCTTCAGTAGGATTGGTGTTTCAGTACGGAGCCACTTCTGCAGCCTGAATTCCAGCTTTTTGAATCTCTCCCGCTGTTTTGTCTTTGGTTTGTGACGTGTCTCTTACCCTTTTAGAAACGGGCAGGAATGAAAAGGCTGAATATCATAATAGTAGCTGAAGGTGCGATTGATCGTAACAACAAGGCCATTACCTCAGAACATGTAAAGAATGTAAGTACATGAGGTGCATAGAGATCCAGCTCATGCATTGACCCCTGACCTCTGTGAGCTCTGTATGTCCGCCCTCTCTGGCTTTGTCCTGTGTGGTTTGCTTAAACACACACACAACTCTTTCTGGTAAGGCACTTGTGGTCACCCCTGAACATAACCAGCTACGGCTATCCTCTACCTACTGTATGTTTTGAATGCTACCTTAAGCAGGAGCATGCACATCTTCCAGTGCTTTACAGTTCAGTCTTATGTGTTCTTTCAGAATACTTTCTGTTACAAGAAAAATTAGGTAAGCGTCTCTATTAGTATTGCTCATACTTTATTTAAAAAAAAAACCTAACTCTAAATTTTAAACTTCATTCCATATCTTGTCACTATTTTTTGGTACTGACATGAATGATACCTCAGACGGACACTTAGAAAAATCAACTTATTAGAACATCACAGAGAAATAGGCTTACATGTACTTACTGTACATATGTGAGGCCCCAGCCTTATCCAGGCACAGAATATCATAGAAAAAAAGTGGAAATTGTGGGGAAAATTTGCAAGTTAACCGAGTTGAACCGATTACAATGTTTAGCACAGTCTCTGAATGCTAACTACTAAAAATGGACTCTAATTTAGTGAGTAGCATGGAACGCTGTTCTGATTTCACCAATTAATGCTCAATTTCTTATTCTCTGCATGTGCATTGCAGCTTTCTCTTGAATCTTTATGCTAAATGCATGCATTCTTATCAGATATTCCTCTTTTTTTTTTGCTTGTACAAAGGTTTATTATTAAATAACCTAATACTGTACAACATTTCAATTTAGTATTACATATGAAGGAATACTTCACCCAGAAATTAAAATTGTGGCATCATTTACTGTGACTCTCTTGTCATTACAAACTCATATGACTTTCTTTTTTCGATGGGACACAAAAGGGTATATTTTGTAGAATTCTAACACTGTCCTCTTTAATTCATTAAAACTCTAAGAAATAGGGAGAAAAAAAACAACAACACCTATAAAAGTATTGCAAAAGTGAACCATACAACTTGTGCAGTATAGCCCAAATGATACAATAGCTTTGTGTTAGAAACAGACCAAAATTTAAGCAGCTTGGACATATAAATAACTCTTTTTGTGTTCCAAGTCATAGGTTTCGAAAGATAATGAGTAAATGACAACATAATTTTCAGTTTGGGGTTAACCTAATTATTAATATGTTATTTACTGTATGGTTAATGAACAGTATGATTATGGTGATAATTTTTACTTACAATAAAAAAAAAAAAAGGATATGATTTTTTTATGACTTTTTATTATATATTGCATGATGGACAATAATAATTTTTTTTTTTTTACAAAATATGACCTAAAACCTCCAAATTCCCTTGATTCAACTCTAAATCTTCTTTATTACCCCTCCAGCTGGTGGTTCAGCGTCTGGGCTTCGACACACGCGTGACCATCCTGGGCCACGTCCAGAGAGGAGGGACCCCCTCGGCATTTGACAGGCTTCTGGTGAGAAACTCTTAGAGATAAAAACAGGAGGGTTGGGCAGCTTACATTAAGTACATAAACAGATTTGATGTCCGCACACTGCATGTGCTCTGCTGTTTCCACAATCATGAAGCACAAAATAAAGGCTCAAGTGCACTCTGGGGAAATGAAAAAAGGAAAAAAAATAAAAATAAATAATAATGCAGGAACAGAAGGACTTAAGCATTTTTTCCTAAGTGGTCTTCTGGGGGAATTTTTATTATATGTTCAACATTATGTTTATGGACATCTTCTCTGGCATGCTGTCGATCACAAACAACACTAACAGTAGCTGGACCCTTGGATTCAACATGCATAAATTGGTCATAAAATCTGCTTAAACATAACACACAAGCAATACTTCAGATTAAATATATTTACTGAACACAACATGTAGGAGTTCTTAGTGCAGGGGGAAAAAGTTAAGTATGTAATTCCAAGGAGGATTTAAAATGAAATTTTCTGTTTACATGGAATAAAAACTATTTCTATACATGAAGTGACTAAGTGCACTACAGATTGCAGTGCTGTTTTGTGTTTGTTGTCAGGCCAGTCGTATGGGTGTGGAGGCGGTTCTGGTGCTGCTTGAGACCACTGCAAACTGCGTGGTGTCTCTGTGTGGGAACCAGTCTGTGCAGCTGCCCCTCATGGAGTGTGTGCAGATGGTAAGACTTGGACAGATGCCACGTCGGGTTTAGTGCTGTGATAATCAAGATCCTCACTCATGCAGTTCAGCAGAGGAATGAGAACACAGCATTGCTGCTGCACTCATGAATCATTCCGGCATTTGCATCCCTATGAATTTATTTAAGTTTAATATCTAATTACATTTCGTTAAATAAAAACTGTCTGTACAAAATGATTCACTTTACTTCATTACAGTAATGAAAATTAGATTTTTTTTTTTTTACACATTACGAAAAATGTGCTTGTTCATCTAAAAATGAACTTTGCAAAATATCTATTTTTTTCAATGTTGAATTGGATTATGATCCCGATATTGTTTTTAAGAAGTCAGTTCAACACCCAAAAAATCATGTATCATAACATTTACAGTATAATGGAAGTGCTTTTGTCTGTCTTGTAGACTCAGGAGGTGCAGAAGGCCATGGATGAGAAAAGATTTGAAGAGGCCGTGAGGCTACGTGGCAGGTGTGTTTCGTATGTTTTGTTTGTAACTTGTGGTGTGGCCATAGGCGTAGCTTGACGTTTGAGTTTGGGGGGGCCAAACCGAACCGTTAGATTTGGTCAGAGTACTTTTAAACACATTTTAGTTTTGCTATAGTAAATCTACACATTCACATAGAGCAGTGGCAAGTGTGTGAGGTTGTCATGGTAACCACAATGCGCAGAAATTCTAAAAAGGCACATAAAAAAACGTATGCGCACATTTGAGTAGGATAAACTTTTTATCCGTTAAGAAAAAATGCGCATCTTACACGACTGTGTTCCCAAACAGCTGGCATCCACCTCCGAAAGCAATGACCGCATTGATTGTGTTTCGTCTGCTCGCTCTGAGGCGCAAGTAATTTATCATATATGAAAATTATTATATTCAGTGGCTTCTCCTTCTCTGATGCTCTGGGCTGTGTGTCGAGTAAGCGGAAGACCACATTACCCTGCACTGATGGGAATGGAAAACAGATTGATGAACCAGCCACAGCTGGTTGGAAACATTGTTCAATTCTTAATAGGCATTGAGTGGTCAACACAAAAACACGATGATGATCAAGAAATACCAGGCCTCAAATATACAGACATACCTGCTAGTTATATAAATAAATATGTAAATCATTTTTAATGTGCTGTACATGTCAGGCCGCATATATCCAGCAGGATTTACAGTAATCCACGAGGACGCTTGCTGTATTTATTATAGACAACCGAACATAAGTGAGTAATACAGCTGAAGGTTTGCTGGATAATGAGAAGTGATTTTAATGTAAACTATTGACATGTTATGTCTTCATCCCCAATTCAGAGCGATTTTAATGTGGCTGTGTTGAACGTGGGTGCCCCTGCCGCCGGCATGAACGCCGCCGTGCGCTCTGCTGTCAGAGTGGGCATCTCCGAGGGACACAAAATGTTCGCGGTCAACGACGGATTTGAAGGATTCAGTAAGGGACAGGTAAATATTTATTTCTACATTCCTATATTAATAACCATCCAGCAGGTTTTAAACTCAGTGGCTTATATGGGAGACATTCCAGAAACGCAAATGTGCTTCACATATGAGCAAAATTGTGCCATGTTTGGACGGCAAATAAAAAAAATGTGCATTTACCCCAAATTTACATTAAGTTCAAGTCATTGTTTTTACTGGCCACATATACAAACGTTATTTTGTGTAGCATTACTAGCAGCAGCATCTAGGTTACAGCAGTTACATACTGAATTGTTTAAATGCACGCTCACATCCAGTTGTGCTAATTGTATTGCTTTAGTAATTGCATTAAGAGCAGGAAGTACTCAGCAAATTAACACGTTTAGCTCAAGTAGGTGTTGAAAACGGCACAGGCTGTGGCGTCGCCTCTATCCCTGCTCTGCTCTGCTGCTCTGACGCAGAACATGACAGGATTAACATAAACTAATTTACCACTGCAGTACCACTCGGGGCTGATTGGGGGCGATGTGTAAAATCCATTAGCCGTATGCTAAGAGCTTTCAGAGGAATCAAGATAAACACGGAGCAATTAATTACATTACATGGGCTTGGCCCTTAGATTAAGACATGATCCACTAATTATCTTGTTGAACAAACTCAAGGAGGATTACAAGCTTGGTTAGAGAAAGCAATGCCCCATCAAATCCATATGTGTTTTTATCAATAGCTTCAAAATATATATATTTTTTAAATAATGTTTTTGAATTCTTACTTTCTCTCTGGCCCTGATGCATTGATAGACTTATTGAGTTATTTTTGGCTAAAAGGGTCTCATCATAGCTGAGTTCTCCATTATGATCTCTTTAGCCAGTCTAATCCAATAAGCCAATGAATTTAGAAAGCACATGAGTGGTAATCACATTTAAACCATGTGGATTTCTATTTGAAAAACTACATTAAAAAACAATTACTGTAAGTCATCATATAGGGCACTTTTGACAAAGACAGCAAAATAATGTTGCCTTTAAAGAATAAGTATTTTTAAGTATAGATCCTTGTGACAAAATACACTTGAGCATACATTTAAAAAGAGTACAATCATTTAAAAGAATATGCTTAATTTAAAAGTGCAAACTGAATGTAAGGCTTTAGGTTTAATTGCAGGTTAATTGCAATTAAATGAAAATGTAGTTTAAACTATATTAAATGAAATTAGCTCAACTTTAAAATACCTTTTAGATCCACTTTAATAGTACTTAAGTACTTCTTTGTATGTAATTTCATAATTCCCTCTTTTGTCTTTTAAATATGATTAATGTATATTGTCAAATTTACTGACAAGCATTTATGGTAAACTAAAATATACTTCATGCCATTTCTATTGAAACTTGTTTGTCAGGTATTTAAATGTATTAGTAATTACACATTTGCAATGATGAAGACAGCTACTATGCAAATATGAACACAGTTTTTATATTTTAAATTACAAATGGATTACTTTGCATGTGTTTTAGTATGTTAGTCAACACATCAAAATATGTGTACTTCTTCAAAGCACAACAAAATATTAATAAAACAATGATTTAAAATGTACTTTAAAGTAAAACTTTTATTTTCACATTATTACAAAGTGCACTTTTTACAATTATGATAAGAAACAGTCATGAAAGTGTACTCTCTTTAAGTACACTTCAGTTTAATTCTATTTCATTCATATTTTATTATCTACAAGTACAGTTTTTAAAAATGTACTTTTTATATTTGAAGTACACTACAAGTGCACATTCAATACAGTTAAGCACACTTCTTTTTCACGGGATAACCATGGAAAATTATGTAATGTTAAATATGAAATGTAAATATAAGATAGATATTTTTGTATTTGTATTTTATATTTTTATTTATGAAGCACATTTCAATACAACCGAGGTTGCCCAAAATGATGAAATAATAAAATAATGTACACTGTGTGTATAATGATGTGTAATAACTGCATATAAAAGTTCCTAATGTAATAGTAGTGGTATAATAATGTATAAAATATATATGTGTGCTCTTTGTAAGCGTGCTTGAGTATTGAGTTGTTAGCTTAGATAACTTATTCTTAAACCTGTAAAAAATGTCAATCTCATTAATTGTTGTTTATTTGAGGTAAAATACAATTTGTGTGGAGCGCTGACTTGCTGCCTATCTCAGATTAGTTATTTACAAGGTTTCTGTTCATGTGAGACTGTCTCTTAGAGGACAGCTGCCCATGTAGATATCTAACCTTCTCACTCGCATTTTGAAGTATTAATGTACTCTTAAGAAAGTGTTGTTCCAATACATTTCTGATCCACTATGCTTCCCTTCCTCAGATAAGAGAGATCAAATGGGCAGATGTAGGTGGATGGACGGGTCAGGGTGGATCCCTGCTGGGAACTAAACGGTATTTATCTTATATACAAAGGCTATGTTGCAAGTTTATATACAGATTTTAGTAATGCAGATGATTTTGCATGCAATGTGCTATACTTAGTGCAATGTTTTCAAATTTGCAGAACGCTTCCTGCAAAGCACATTGACAAAATTGCAGAACAGATGCGAAAGTATAACATAAATGCACTGTTAGTGATCGGAGGATTTGAGGTATGTCTTCCAGCCTGGGCTTTAGGCATTTTAATGTTTTATCTTGCATTACTTATGTGCTTCACTGTTGATATTATATATAATATTTTAAAATGATTTTATTTGAAAATAACTTTTGCATGTAAGTACAATATAACCACATAAATACTGTAGGTGACACTTTGCAATAAACTTCCTTAACTACATTAGTCAACATGAACAATTAAAAACTCTTCTACAGCATTAAGCAATCATAATTAATGTTAATTTCAACATGTACTAATACATTTTTAAAACCTTTATTTTTTAAACTTGTATCTGTTATCATTTAATCAACCTGAGCTAACATGAACTAAGAGGTGTATTTTAATTAACTAACATTAACAAAGATTCATAAATACTGAAACAAATGTATTGCTCATTGTTAGTTAATGCTAGTTAATTAAGGTTAACTAAGAAAGGTTATTGTAAAGTGTTACCCATATGTATTATAACAGTATTAACAATAAAAACATGATTTGATATTTATATTTTAATTTGTAAACTATATCAATCATTTTGCACCTTGATGTCTGTCCATTTAGTTTTATAAAACAATTTTAATTCTTAATTTAAAAAGTAACTGATACTGTGTTGTTAACTTGCCTGCCCTCTCCATCATGTTTTCCTATGCAGCATCATCTAAAGCTTCATGTGCTCCTGTTCTTTTCATAATGAACATCCAAAATCATTGAAAAATGGTGCAGAAAAAAATCACCTTCTTAGCAGGCACCGGTTCATCTTTCAGCCGTTTGAATGAACGACGTTAACATTCACACAGCTGAGATGACAAACGGCGCCATTAAAGACCGAACAATGACCCACAATTCCAGAATAGCTTTGAATGTCATCTCATGCTTTGAGTTCAGGCTCATCTTCTCTCTTTCTATACAGACGTCATCAGGATGTGTGTGTATGTATTTTACGCAAGTGTTTCAATTTGAAGTGTGTGTACGGAGTGGATCCTCTATCTCATGCTCTCCGTCGTGATGGCCGTGGCTTTCCACTCGGTTCCTTCCTCGTCTGTCTCACTCATTCCATCCCCATTCCCAGCACCGGTGGCGGTTCACTAAATCTCTAAATCACTAAATCTCTACCGCAGGGCGGTAAACTCTGCCCTGCCCTGCAGGCCTTCCTGGGGATCATGGAGTTGTTAGCAGCCCGCGGGACTTATGATGAGTTGTGTGTGCCAATGGTCATGGTGCCGGCGACAGTCTCCAACAATGTGCCCGGCTCAGATCTCAGCATTGGTGCAGACACGGCTCTGAACGCTATCACTGATGTAAGTGAGGCTGGAGGGTGCCACCCACCAGCCAATCACATCAGAGGCTCTGTCTTCTCTTTACAAGCCAATCACAGAGGCTCTGCCTTATGTTTACCAGCCAATCATGTCAGACTAGGCTACCAGCAGCAGTGGGTTCCCAAACTTAAAGCTGCGGTCACATTTACCATTGTTCAGGGAATTTTCGCGGACGAAATCCAGTCACAATTGAGAATTTCGCACGAGAGTGAAAGATTGCGCAACAGATTTCATATTCAAGTTCAAATTGGCCAACAGAAAGTTACTTGGTTTGAAAGTGACCGCTGCGTGAACTATACTTCATAAATCGCTACACTATTGGCAAAAGACTATGGATCTTTCTCTGGATGCAAAATTTCACCAAATGTTCACTAATGTGACCGAATCTTTTTCCCAGCAGGCACGCAACGTCATAAGACATTGATATTTGGTTAAATTTCGGTTGCGACAGCAGGTGACCAAAATTCAATGCCAATTCAACGTCTAATGTCAATGCTAATTTGATGTCCAATGGCGACGTCAGCTGTCGTTGATATTTTTAGTCGTTGATTATTTTTTCAAATTGCCGTCAAATACTGACATCAACCCGATTTTCGTTCTCAACCCAAAATGTAACGTCTGTCCAATGTCAACCTGACGTTATAGATAGGTATCCAAGTCACCATAATATAATGCCTAATGAGCTAAATAAATTCAAATGAGCTTTAAGCAAAACAAAACAAAAAAATTTGCAACTGCAATGCTCATTCATCATAGTAAAAAGTAAACTGAACATTTATGAACAAAGGATACACATACTGTATGTTGCCTTCAACAACCAACAACATTTTAGGCATTTTAGTAGACAGGACATAAGATGCATTTTATTAAGATATGTCCGGGCCAAATTCAGCTTCATTTTCTTTAAGCAAAATATTATTCCTTATTGATTTGGTGGTGAAATATGACCTGGACATGTTCTTGGTAGTTTTGTGAGATTTAGCCTGATATTTGTACATTAAGCATTAATGTTTCGGCTGGTAAATGCAAAGGCGAGCCGTTGGCTGACAGGTAAGTGGAGATGACATAATGGCGGCATGTTTTGAGCTGTGCTTTTTGTTGTGGCTGTCATGTGACTGAGCCTGTGCTGTGCTGTGATCACACTGCATTAACCCGTCATAACAGATCGCTGACCCCGGCTAACGTTGATGGAACTAGAGTCTGTCTGCATAGTTTCTTTACATCCATGGTTTAAACCAACACAAGCCTTACTAAAGCACAGGCTACTGCCAGTTTTTCATATATATAACATAGTTCACCTTAAAACCCTCATGTCCTTACAAATTCAACGTTTTGTTGAACTCAAATACAACGTAATAAAGATATATTAGATGTTTAAAAAATATGAATGGAGACTAGGGATATCAAGCTTGAAAAATGCTCCGTAACATAACACCAAAACTGAAATCTTCCCTTCCTTCGCTCCCAAATATCATTCTCTTATAAACAGGGGTGCACATAAGTTTTTCAGCCTGGTTCTCATATGAGAACCTGGAGATTTGGTTTGGTCCTCACACGACACATGGTGTGACCCATCAAATATAACTATAAAAAATAAATGAATAATAGTGATAATATTATTGCACTTTATTTAGATTTATTTAAATAAAATAATAAACTAAACAATAAAGTGACAATACTATTTTATTTAAAAAAAAGGGAGTATTAAATACAAATACAATTATTTTATAGTAAACTTAAAAATAAAATGCTAATATTTTTATTATTTTAATTTGAACCTTAATTATTATTTTTAATTTGAATTATTTGAATTTTTTATTTTCAAACTGGCGATTGTAGACAGTGTTGCCAAGTCTGCGGTTTTCTCGCGGAATTGGGCTACTTTAACACTGTTGCCGCGGGGTTTTTTTTCATGTCCGCGGATTGAAGCGACCCCAATAACGTGATATTTAGCCCCTGGAATGCGAATTTTACTGGAGGATCCCTGTCGAAAAACGTGTATTTTACCCCCCCGGAATGCGATTTTTACCGGGGAACCCCTCTCGAAACGTGATTGGGCTAGTTTTGGACTAGTTTTGAGTAGCAATTGGGTGGGTTTTGTTGCGAAAACCTGGCAACCCTGATTGTAGAGCGACAGTGAATGAAATGTCACAGTTTTGCATTGTGTTTTGAAACTGTTAGCGGGTAGCTTAGATTTATGCTTTCAGTTTGAATAGAAATCTTATACAGTACAGTTTGTCGATCTAAAATGGTAATCGTGCATTAACAGCTGTCACCCATGTCGGTACGCAAACGCATGGTCTGAACTAATTTACACAGCGCATTTCTTATTTTAGTCGTGCATGCGCACCTGCGGACCACTTATGTGCACCCCTGCTTATAAACATTTATGCATAAAGCGTCAGTAGCCAGGTTTCCATCCAAGTTTTTTTGGAAATGCCATTTATCAATACAATTTCTCAAATGTTGACCCATTTAACTTTAGTGCATAAATTCTGTCAGTACTTAAAATGTTGCAAAAACTAGTTTGGAAACACATTTTGTTGAGAAAAATACCATTAACATAAATAAGTTTAATGCTGCTCCCATTAAAGCGCTGTTTTTCTGCAGTGTTCAGAGGTGTGTGAAATCTATTCTATTAATATTATTAAATTGTATATATTACTATTTGTAAGAATGTTACCTCTCAAAAATCATGTATTCTAATTTTTTTTAAAATTTTGTCTATTTTTAAAAAATATATATTACACGCCTTAATTTGAGGTTCATTTTATTTTGTATTATTTTATATTTCCTTATTTAAAAATGTACAAGTATTGTGAAATTAGTAAGCAGTAAAATGCCAATTGCTCTCATTGCTATTTGAACCTTAATTATTATTTTTAATTTGAATTATTTGAATTTTTTATTTTCAAACTGGCGATTGTAGACAGTGTTGCCAAGTCTGCGGTTTTCTCGCGGAATTGGGCTACTTTAACACTGTTGCCGCGGGGTTTTTTTTCATGTCCGCGGATTGAAGCGACCCCAATAACGTGATATTTAGCCCCTGGAATGCGAATTTTACTGGAGGATCCCTGTCGAAAAACGTGTATTTTACCCCCCCGGAATGCGATTTTTACCGGGGAACCCCTCTCGAAACGTGATTGGGCTAGTTTTGGACTAGTTTTGAGTAGCAATTGGGTGGGTTTTGTTGCGAAAACCTGGCAACCCTGATTGTAGAGCGACAGTGAATGAAATGTCACAGTTTTGCATTGTGTTTTGAAACTGTTAGCGGGTAGCTTAGATTTATGCTTTCAGTTTGAATAGAAATCTTATACAGTACAGTTTGTCGATCTAAAATGGTAATCGTGCATTAACAGCTGTCACCCATGTCGGTACGCAAACGCATGGTCTGAACTAATTTACACAGCGCATTTCTTATTTTAGTCGTGCATGCGCACCTGCGGACCACTTATGTGCACCCCTGCTTATAAACATTTATGCATAAAGCGTCAGTAGCCAGGTTTCCATCCAAGTTTTTTTGGAAATGCCATTTATCAATACAATTTCTCAAATGTTGACCCATTTAACTTTAGTGCATAAATTCTGTCAGTACTTAAAATGTTGCAAAAACTAGTTTGGAAACACATTTTGTTGAGAAAAATACCATTAACATAAATAAGTTTAATGCTGCTCCCATTAAAGCGCTGTTTTTCTGCAGTGTTCAGAGGTGTGTGAAATCTATTCTATTAATATTATTAAATTGTATATATTACTATTTGTAAGAATGTTACCTCTCAAAAATCATGTATTCTAATTTTTTTTTTAATTTTGTCTATTTTTAAAAAATATATATTACACGCCTTAATTTGAGGTTCATTTTATTTTGTATTATTTTATATTTCCTTATTTAAAAATGTACAAGTATTGTGAAATTAGTAAGCAGTAAAATGCCAATTGCTCTCATTGCTCTCTTCATTTTGCAAAGATTTGGGATGTAAAAGATAAAATAATTTGCGATACACTTGTAATTATGTAAACAGCTAAAGGGAAGACTTTTGCGATAAAACTAATGCAACAATTATTATTATTATTATTTTTGTAAGGGATAACAAAAAAAAATTTGTCGATAATAGAATAGCACAAATAGTGGATGGGAATGTAGCTACAGACGTCATACCATGTTTGAAGAGTTTCAGCAAAAAAACTCACTTAAAGCTACTGTGTGAGTTCAGAAGGTTTCAAATATAGTGTGTTATTAATATATAATTCTGGAAAATATTTATTTTTCATGGAAAAAAACAACAGTGGTAATGACATGAGGGTAAATAATGACAGAATTTGGGTTAACTGACACATTTAAATACAAATCACAATCACAATTTAGGAAGCAAATAGCATGCAAAACCAGTCGGAATTCAGAATGCTTATGTTCCAATGGCATCATCACTGTCGGTTACAGTACACTACTGCAGTACACAGTGTTAATGTGTGGACTGAGTCATCTTGCTGCCTCTGTGTCTGTTACAAGTGTGCAGAATCTCTGCCGTTTCGCTTCAGTGTTTTGCCACGTGACAACCCTGTATGTGTGTGACTGCGAAAGTCAATCCGACCCCATCCGTACCCCCTTCCTCTCCCCCTCGACTCGAAATCAAAAGTCATGGCGGCCATCACACGGTGGGTGTCCCATCAGCAGGGTCCGCTCCTGCACCAGTACTCCCCCTGCTGGTCTAACGTGTGAATTGTGCTGTCCCCTGTGGTCCCCTGCTGTGTTGTGCTGACCTGCCAAAGGCCTTAGAGTGTCTACTGCAGCTGTGTGAGGCTCGGTCCAGCTATGAGGAGTTTTGCATCCCGCTCTGTATGCTGCCTGCAACCATTAGTAACAATGTGCCCGGCACTGACCTTAGTATCGGGGCAGATACGGCCCTCGATGCCATTGTGGAGGTAAGATGATAAACTTTCTTTAGTTTATTCCTGTCTGCAAAGGAGTCATTCTTAGGAAACAGCATTATTTCTACCCAGACACATTACTTGAAATTCTATAATTATAATTTGAATTTGTGCCAAGCCTGTTACATTCACATTTTGGCGGTGAATGTTACGGGGTTGAAATGGCAAAATGTTTAACAAAAGTGTTAGCTTGCAGATAGCACATTATGTATAGTCAGTATTCTGTGCTTAATATTAATATTTTTTTCCCCATAACAGAGTTGAAATATGGAGCTTGACAAGGCCAAAAGAACATTGAAATAATTATAAAAATTATAAGATTACATATTCTTTATTTTACATTATGCGTATAATAATAATTTGTGCATAATTATAATTTAGAAAAAACAAACAAACAAAAAAACAGGTTATGTGGCAAGCCACACAATATTACGGGGTTGAAATTGCAAAAGGTTTAATAAAAGTGTTAGCTTGCAAATATCCCATTATTTTACGTGCTTAATATTAGTATTCTTGTCCATAACAGAGTTGAACTCTTACGACTGACCAAAAGAACATTGAAATACCACTAAAGATTATGCAGTTATATAATTTTATATTAAAATTATACTTTATTTTACCTTGTAAATGTTTTATAGCTTTTATTTTTTTTATATAAATATAATTTGAATATAATTTAATATTCGATTAATATAATTTTAAAAGAATGTGCCAAGCCTATTAGATTCACAATTTGACAAGCTGACATTGCAAAATGTCTAATGATGATGTTTGCAAATATCACATTTACAGTCAGTATTCTAGTTCTTCATGCTTAATATTAATATTTTTCCCCATAACAGAGTTGAACTTCCGTCTGTCTGACAGCCCCAAAGTATGTATTAATAACACATTGAAATATAGATAAACCTATCTCTGTTTGAACCACCTAGTTACTTAAAATTATAATGTTATTCACTTAAATGTGATGCCAAACCAATTTTTAAAGGGAAAATATCACAGCAAAAGGTCGTTGTAAAAGAAATAATAATAATATATATATATTTTTTTGCATTGTAATGCAAGTTACATTTAGGTAGAATTTCAATTTTTGTGAACAAATAAAACAATAAATATATAATATAAAATTGTATATCTAAATAATAATCTTAACAATATAAAATATTATACCTAAAGAATATTTACAGTTTGGTATGAGGAGCATTATTGTGTATCATAAATTGTTTTGTGTCTGTAAGGTGCTCCTAAAAGCCCATATTCAGTGCAGTTTATCTTCCCGAAGCTCTCTGTGAACGCGATTTACCGTCATGAAAAGTAAATATTCCATGTCTCCAAACTGATTTGTGCTTATAATAGTTAGTAAGAAAAGACATTTTTAGTTGGACTTCCAAAAGTGGCTCTTGTTGCATGGCATGTACTGTATCTGGCATGACAGTGATTCAGCAGGTTGTAGCAAGATTTATAGCATTACTCAAGAAGACACGAAATGACTAAACGTGTATGTGTTTGTCAGACATGTGACCATATAAAGCAGTCTGCCAGCGGAACGAAGCACCGCGTGTTCATCATCGAGACCATGGGAGGTTACTGTGGTTATCTGGCCAGTGTTGGTGGACTGGCGGCTGGAGCGGATGCTGCATATATCTTTGAGGAGCCGTTTGACATCAGAGACCTACAGGTTATCAACACACGCACTCACACACTCTCTCTCACACACACACACACACACACACACACACACACAGCTAAAATGCTAGTGTCTTAGCAATACAATTATGTAACATGATTCATTAATAATTACACAAAAGGTTATATAATCTTTGATTTAGTGTCAAGTCTAGTGCAGTTATTAAACAATAACCATTAGTGCCATCTGTTGGTTAAATGAAGAAACTGCATTTCTCTTTTCTTCAGTCTAACGTAGAGCACTTGACAGAGAAAATGAAGACCAGCATTCAGAGAGGACTAGTCCTGAGGTATCTATCTATCTATCTATCTATTCTGAGTTTGTGGTTTGTTCTCCTCTCGGCTCAGATGAGAGTATTTTGGGTCAGTGTGTGATTGAGATGTGCTCTGTCACTCACTCAGCCGGTTTGTCTGCACTTGTGTTCATGCAGGAATGAGAACAGCAATGAAAACTACACCACAGACTTCATCTATCAGCTCTACTCCGAGGAGGGCAAGGGAGTGTTTGACTGCAGGAAGAATGTTCTGGGTCACATGCAGCAGGTACTGCACATAAATCGTACATCACAGAACACTCTGGCCGACAGGCACTATTAACTCCACTTTAATGAATCAATATTCTGTAGCAGACAAACCATTTTCTTGTGCCTGCTAATTCAAGTGAACAAGTGAGAGTATTATGATTGCTTAATACAAAGACAGCTGTAATCTGGAAACAGGAGCACTTTAGATGGTGCTTGTATTGTTTGTGTTGGTTTCTGTGTGCATGGAATACCTGGCCTACTGAAATGTTTATATATATATATATATATATATATATATATATAT